TTAAATAGTTGATTTGATATTAAAATTGATATAATTTTTTTCAAATTTTTATGATATCTTCAAATTTATATTTTATTCAAAAATAAAATCATTATTGTTTTCATTAAAACGCATAAAATCGTATTATAACATCAATAGAGACAAATAATAAAATAGAACATTAAAATCAAGATGTGTCTTGCTGCATTGCGCGAGTACTCTTCTAGTTACTTATAATTTATGATTACAAGTAAATTGTGCATAAGTACAACTTATTGGAACTCCATATTTGAATTCGTATAACTAACTGCAGATAAACATAATCAAATACTGGATAAGCATCTCATTTTAAATATAAAAAATCTAAAATATAATTAAGATAATCATTGAGTTCTAACAGAATATTTAGTTATTATCTTCATAGAAAATATATTATTAAATTTTTTTGTTATTAAACCTAAATTATATTATAATTAAAAAAATTGAATTAAGAAAGTTACACCAAAACACAGAACTTTTAAAAAAATAAATTTGATACTGATATCAATATATTTTTTTTAAAATTTTATGATATTTTCAAATTTATATTTTATTTAAAAATAAAAACATTATCGTTATCTAAAACCAAATAAAACCGTGTTATATCAACATAAAAACGAAATAAAACGAAACGCCGGAATCAAAATATGTGTCAATGTATTATACGAGTACCCATTTAGTAAATATAAATATTTATTTGATTAACTTTTTTCCATATACCAAAAATAAATGATACATACCAAAAGAAATAAAAAACCGAGATATTTAACTCATCTTCGTTCGTTCTTCAACCTACAATGGCTACAAACATGGCGGCCTGCACCACCACCACAAAGAATATACTCGAAGAAGAAGAAAATATGTCAAGAATAGAGGAGGACCGACTGAATGACTTGCCGGAATCCTTGCACCATCACATTCTCTCACTTCTCGACACCAAAGACGCCGTTCAAACATCGATGATCTCAAAATCATGGCTTAGGCTCTGGACTTCCATGCCGGTTCTTCACCTCAACAGCTGTAATTTTCGTTATGTTGTTAATTTCGATAAGTTCGTCAACAGTGTTTTACGTTATCGTGATGAATCCGCCAAGTTAAACACGTTAACCTTCAGCCGTCGTGGCGTATGCAGTGCGAAGATTGTAAAGGAAGTCGTGGATTACGCATTATCTCACGGCATCAACCACTTGGAACTCTTCATCAAACGTTTCAAAAACTATTCTCTGCCTGTTTCTGAGCAAACCTCCTCCGATTCATTGAAAACCCTGAAACTAAAAATTCATAGTTATGTTAGTTGTCCGCTTCTCTCGGGATCATTCAAGAATCTAACTTTTTTGTACCTCCAAGGGGCGATTATAAAGAATCATCAACCCTTTTCAGGGTTTCCGATGTTGGAGAAGTTGGTATTGAAAGATTGTCGTCTTTGTAAGATTCTGAGTGTGCAGGCTCCGAAACTTTGTGATTTAACCCTCTCATGCCATGGTTGTTTCGATCGTTGCGAGCTCACGACTCCAAATCTAAGATTCTTCAAGTATATGGGTTCTGATTTTCCACTCTTGGTAACCCATGATGGTCTTCCTGTTCTTGAGACGGTGGTGATCGATTACTATGGTGTTTGTTACGATTTTGAAGAGCAGAGGTTGTTTGATGATCTGATATCTCTATTTTGGGCCCTTGATAATGCGAAATCGCTTACTATCTTCTCGACGATTGTTGATGTTCTTAATTTGTTTCCAGATGATTTGGTGAATCTGAATTCACCCTTTCGCAAGTTGAAGTGTTTGAATCTGGATCTCAAGTACCTGGGCATGTATGAAAACTTATTTGATAGCCTTCTTCCTGGCAGGCGGTTGAATATCAAAAGGTCTTATGAGCTCGTGAAAGCTTACTTGCTCAACAAGTCTCCTGAGGCCAAATTTAGCATCATACCTCCTCCTAATAACGACATTTGATCTTGGTTATTGCTTTAAGTTTGTTAAAGACTAATTTATTTCATACATGATGGATCTTTTGTTTGCAATTTCTTTTCTTTATTTAAATTGCATACCGTTAATCAATTCATTCTTGTGCTCATGATTGATATATCTATACACCTAATAAATAAGTAACTTGGGAGTCACGTGTCATCTTCTGGTGAGACGGTTATAAAGATTCCCCACCTAAACATGTATGTAGATACAATTTACATTAGTTGTTCAAAGAGGCTTATTTAGTTGACATATGTCCCTGTAAACATAACTAATTTGCGTACGAAAAGTCTGAATTTCCTTTCCTCATACTTATAAGTTTTATCTCTACAAACTTTTTCAGACATAAAAGTCTGAATTTAACTCTAAAGTGTTTTTCAGACTTATAGGAATTCAAATGAAGTAAAACCCTAATCATGTCTTCTTCATCCTCGATCTGTCGACCTTAACCAAGATAAGAACTGGATCGGAGATGGAGGCTATTACTTTCACTCCTCCTCACAGTACCATAGAAGCATGACCAGAGATGTGGTCTAAGTGAAATCAACCGCCACTAGATTCAACATGATTAGAGAGATGAGGGGCTGGATATGGTTCTTTGTACAAACCCAAATTCGAGACTAAGCTTGTCGACTTGAGGAGGATATCTCGGTACAACCCACCCATTTCCCTCTTTTTCTCCGACGAACATCACCGGCCCTGTACTTCCTCCCTTTGCTCAATGACTTTTTGCCTAAAAAAACCTAAAACTCCAAAATAAACCTCCTCCTCTTCATCCCCAAACACCAATGCTTCATTTTCTTGTGTAAGATCATGATTCAGAATCCAAAATAAAGGATCGATGCATGAGTCAAGTTCTGGATCAATGGGCACACTTTGTAAGTTATTTGTATTCGATTTTGATTTAGGCTTACGTTTACATGATTTTTATGTAACAAATTTTTTGAATCGATGTGTATGTTCTTGAATTTGATCTAAACTCCTCTTAAGAGTTGAAATTCAGAGTTAAGTTTCTGAATTATTAGAAGTTAGAATTCTTGTGATTCAGAGTTATGCCTATGGATACTTTTTAAACTTAGAAAACAACTCTGAATTTCTCTTATTCAGAGTTAAGTGCAGATTTATTTTCCAGGCTAACAACAAAACTCTGAATTCTTATGCTTCAAAGTTATTGTTCAGAGTTTTCATTTAGACCTGAGGAAAAGACTCAATCCTTGTATCAAGCGCATTCATAGGTGGGTTTGAAATTAAAGATGATCAAGGGTCTAGATCCCTTCTTACGCTTCTCACTTTAACTTTCATTCTTACATGATACCTCGCCTTAGATTGATAATATTAATAAGAGTAAACTGTAATTTTCGTTCAAATGGTTTCTTACTTAAAACTATTTTCATTTTCAATCTTTAAAAATTGATTTTTATTGTGGTTTTCACTTCCATTTGTTTTTTGAGTTACATAAATAACTATAACATATTTATATTTAATCAATCAAATTCCAAAAAGATGCCTGCATAACCTACTCAACAACTTATTCTTTTGTTATTTTATTAACTTATTTTAATTAAATAAAAAAATCTTAAAAACCTTCTCTAATATAATAACCTTTTAAAAGTCGTTTTATCATTTAAAATTTAACAATTATCCCCTTCTATCTAAATTATCTTATAAAACCTCCTCCTAAAGGATCATTATAAATACATTTTATTAAATTGTCACAAAGGTATAATAACAATGATACAAAAAATCAATTCGTTAAAAAAATTAAAGACGATAGATATATTATATGATTTATATTTTTAGGTATTCGATATTGATGTCACTTTGATGATGTTGACGAGAATTTTTTTTAGTGTATTTTGTTATGAAAATAAATTTATTAATCGCTAAAAAGTTATAATGGTTTAAAATGAAAATTACATTGAAAATGGGTGAAAATTGGTTTTGGAAAAATAATGTCAATCACCAGAAGTAAAAATCCATACAAAACTTATCATCGGAGATGCTATTTCATTTACACTATTAAAAAGACCCAACCCAAATAACAGTTACAATTTACGGCCCATATATTGGAGCTATAATAGACATAGTTAAAAAGTATTTGACAAAAACTTTTAAAAATCATTTTTATGCATGAATTATTGTTTATTGATGTATATTACTTAAAATTTAAGATTACGAGTAAATTGTGCATAAGTACAACTTACTAAAGCTCTATATTTAAATTCGTGTAACTAACTCTAAATAAATATAATCAAATATTGGATAAAAATCTAATTTTAAATATAAAAAATCTAAAATATAGTTAGGATAATTATTGAGTCCTAACAGAATACTTAGTTATTATCTTTATAAAAAACTATATTATTAAACTTAAATTAAATTACTTCGTTACTAAACCTAAATTAAATTRTAATAAAAATTTGAATTAAGAAAATTACACCAAAAACAAGAATTTTTAAAAAGGTTAATTTGATACTGATATCGATATATTTTTTTCAAATTTATATTTCATTCAAAAATAAAAGCATTATCGCGTTCTCAAAACCACATAAAACCGTATTATATCGACATAAGAAAAAAAAAAAACACTAAAATCGAGATGTATCTCGATGCATTGCACGAGTACATTTCGAGTAATTACATAATTTGCAATTGTAACTTCTTGTTAATGACAATATAATCACTATTGTGATCCGCGGATTGCAGGCTTTAAATATTTCACATGCAAAGTGACAATATATTATTATTTTATTTTAAAATTTTAATACATACTTTTCTTTTAAAAATTTGATTTTAATTAAATTTAAAAAAATCAAAATTTATATTTTTCAATTCCCTACCAATAAATATTGATTATGACATATTTTAATGACATCAATCTATCATTTCATTTTAATATTCTTGTTAACATGAAAATTCTCAAATTTCAGCTCTTTTCAATATCTAATATGGGTCCAAGTTTCCCAATGTAGAACAATTTCGCAAATAGATAGTAGATAATACTCTAAAAATGATTTTAATTGAGCATCTATAGTAAAAATTCGACCTTGAGAATATATTAATAACGGTTTCAAAACATCAAATAAATTTTTATATAGTTTTTAGACTAAATAAAATAAAATTTGATAATCTATACTATATTATAAAGCATTTGGCTAAAATTCTTAAAAACTCTTAAAACTCTTAAAACTTTTAAAAACTCTTAAATTAGATTTCATCCCTATCTGATTTCATCCCATATCTGAATTCGTATAACTAACTGCAGATAAACA